AACCTCCACTAAAAGTTATGTCCACACAAACATGTATATGCCCAAAATCTGTGTACCATCTACCATGTATTCAATTGTGAAAGCAGAATAATATATATATCATCTCTTTATTACTTCAAAGCTCCCAAAAAACTTCGACATGAAATGACCCATAAGAAGTCCATATGCTATTAAAGAAATCAATGAACCAATCAATCAATTGCAATTGAGTATTGAGTTCGATTCTCACTGGGTGCTCAATACTTTTGGCCTAGGACCACATCAAAGCTACGCTGAGTAAACTGCTATACACGGCTTATATTGAAAGAAAATATGATCCAAGCTATGAAAACAAACATTCAGGCATATGTTGTAGCAGCAAATAAATCTTTAGATGATTTTACAACAGTGAAAACATGACAATTGATATTCTCCTAGCACTTGTATATCACCAGGTATAGAGAAATACAAAGGGGTGTAAGACAAGGATGGGTCTTCTCACCGGACTTATTCAACCTATACAGCAAGGGGATTGTGAGAGAACTAGAAGACATACAAAGATTCATTATAAGCGGTCACGATCTTAACAACATCAGGTATGCTGTTGACACCGTGTTGATAGCAAACACAGAAAAAAAGCTGTAAACACTCCTTCGGTTGCGGGTTCTGTGGCATATCATGAGGAAAGGTGGCTTGTAAAATCTGATACTCTCGGGACGGAGTGAAAGCAAGTGGGACAGAGTAAAAGAACATACAATAAAATTTATAGTGTAAATGGATGATGGGACAAAGTTAAGGAGAAATAACAGTAAGCCAAAGTTTATTAAGATATAAAAGTGACAGGAAGTTGTGGAGCGCCATGATCGCTTACATCTTGAGGAGACACGGCATAAAAAAAGAGAGGAATATAAAGAAGAAGGAGGAGGAGGATGAGCAGCAGCAGTATGAGAAGAAGGAAGAAGAGAAGAAGGAAGCAGAGAAGAAGACGAAGGATGAGGACTAGAAGAAGAAGAAGAAGAAGAAGAAGAAGAAGAAAGAGCAGGAGTTGTATAAGAAAAGGGAGGAGGAGGCGGGGAAGACGAAGAATGAAGATTAGGTTGATGAGAAGTAGAAGCAGGAGGAGGAAGAGTAGGAAGAAGAAGAAGAAGAAGAAGAAGAAGAAGGAGGAGGAGGAGGCGGTTTAGAAAAAGAAGGAGGAAGAGGACGAAAATAAATAATAATAATAATAATAAGAAGAAGAAGAAGAAGAAGGAGGAGGAGGTTTAGAAAAAGAAGAAGAAGGAGGAGGAGCACGAAAATAATAATAATAATAATAATAAGAAGAAGAAGAAGCAGAAGGAGAATGAGGAGAAGGTTTAGAAAAAGAAGGAGAAGGAGGAGGACGAAAATAATAATAATAATAATAATAATAATAATAATAATAAGAAGAAGAAGAAGAAGAAGGAGGAGGAGGAGGTTTAGGAAAAGAAGAAGAAGGAGGAGGAGCACGAAAATAATAATAATAATAATAATAATAAGAAGAAGAAGAAGAAGAGGAGGAAGGAGGAGGAGGAGGAGGATGTTTAGAAAAAGAAGAAGAAGGAGGAGGAGCACGAAAATAATAATAATAATAATAATAAGAAGAAGAAGAAGAAGAAGAAGAAGGAGGAGGAGGAGGTTTAGGAAAAGAAGAAGAAGGAGGAGGAGCACGAAAATAATAATAATAATAATAATAATAATAATAAGAAGAAGAAGAAGAAGAAGAAGGTGTAAAAACACCTCCTCAGCATTATCCCGGATATTGCTCTCCATAGTAATTCTCGAAGAGAATTTCATGTCTTGTAGTTGCTTCTGGTGGCGTGTCATTCTTTAAATTACAGTACATCACGTGATGTTACCTGAGACAAAGTTTTACAAGTGACAGCTGTAAATAATACACTTAAATTTGTCGCTTGTGTGGCCATTAATCAAAAGAAGCATTCAATTTAACAACATTTACGGGACAGACATTATATTATTTTTGTCTTTTATGTACCGTGTCCTTTCAGATGGTGTGTGAAAAATGACTCCCATGCAGTTTAGCACTCTTCCACACCGCATTATCACACCACCGGCCTTCTCATTTACATCAACAAATATTCGAGATAATCATCAATTCATCCCAGTAACAGAAACAAACTCCTGAATGACAAACAGTATTAATCTCACTCCTGTAGCTTCACTGTTGATATCTTAACTGTCATTATACATAAATCATTGAAGAAATTGATAAGTCTATTGCATGAACGACTGGCTTAAACATCTTGAAGTCTTTTGACAGGTTTTAGCATGGGGACTGCTACAAAATCTCTTCAACTCAGATATTTTCTGCGAGAACCTTCCCAATTATCAAGACCTTCTTATCTATGATTACGTTTATAATGGCAATTCCTCTTAATCCCAGTTGATGAATGTTGGCGTAGTCAAGACACTTTCCTCTGCCCTTCCCATTTACTTCTTGACATTAACGATCTGCCTAAGAACATTCTCAGAGCATTGGTTATATATATATATATATATATATATATATATATATATATATATATATATATATATATATATAGACGATACTACAATTTGTAGGTGCAACTCCAACAATCTAGATTACCAGATACTGGCAGCCTATATCACATCTGACCTTACCCGCACAGTAGTGGTCTTATAACTTGACAAGGGATTCAGTTGGCTTATTCTACGTCTTACCGACAGGGCAGCTAAAACACACACACATACGTATATATATATATATATATATATATATATATATATATATATATATATATAGGAATGAGATAAAGAACAGATGGAATAAAAATCCACCGTTCGTAGCATTTGCTTTTAAAAAACGTGCTAAATATATTATAATATATTTATTATAATAAATTACAATAAAAATTTTACATTCTACATAAGTTAGAGGTTTCAGTACTAAAATTGTACTTCGTCAGGCGATAGTAGACAACTTGTCTAAGTTATCTATCATGTCCTGACAATGTACAGTCTTAGTACTGAAACATGAAAATTTTTGCGTAACGATGTAAAATGTTCTTTTATTATATATATATATATATATATATATATATATATATATATATATATATATATATATAAAAGCCTGGTTCGCCGTACCACAGCTTATCAGTACGCCTAGTCATCTGATTGCTTCAAGCCAGGATCAAAACTCGATCGATTGAGCATCAGACAGAGACCTTACCCACTAAGCTATCAGCGCATGGCAGAGGAATATAATCGTTTAAGGTATTATATACGTGATGTTTTTGGACCTTTCTTCAATCCTCACTAATCTCAAGTCTTCTCATTCACTTTCAAATTCACTTCCTGTAACCATAAGCATTCTAGTGAAATTCCCGATGTTTTGGGTGAAATGATTTATAAAAATCACCCCAAGATGATACAAAAAGTGTAAGGGTCAAAGATGGATATACCGATAATAAGACAGATGCAGACATATATACATAGGTAAATATAAAATGAGATAGATTGATTGATAGCAGATTGTGATAAATAAATATCTTTACTGTTACTTCACCCAAAACAAGACCTAAGGGTCACTCAGAGTAAAAGGGATACTGAGTAGGACTTATGTAAAGTAGATGGAAGCAGGCAGTCTGAAACCTATATTGTATGCACGAATTATTAGCGTGAAAGACACAGAGGGGACATTTAGAGAAAATCGTTTTAATAAGATAGAAGATGATGGTCGGCATTGCATTTATATTTGAGAAGATAGAGTTGACAGGAAGAACGAGAAACCGGAAGAGATTTACACAAATAGACGCGCGGGGAATAAATTATTAGCGTAAGACTTATGGTTCAAACTAGAAATTTCTACAGTGATTTTACGAGACCGACCTGCAAAACTCCTACTGCTCTTATAATTCGTGAATCGGGGTATCAAAGGGAAAAGCTCTCCAGAACAATAACTGCGAAAATATTTATAGAAACGACACAAGAAAGCTATGTTAGAGCGGCGGGAATGTGATGCCGCGTCAAGGATGATAATATTGCAGATTCATTTTTGGGTTTGTGAAGAACCTCTAGATATGCAGAAGAACCGAAAGTTAGCAATAATCGTCGCACCGATCAATGGTAGAATTATAAACGTGCTAGAATCAAGCAGCATAACTTTATTTTTTTTGTGTATCAGGTTATTGAATGAGAGAGATATTAGATTTAACTAAACAGAATCCTACTTACATTCACCAATGCTACAGAGAATTTAAACAAAGTTATTTATACATTTCTAATACTTAAATGGTCTATTTGTAAGGAAAGAGACTTCCTGGTGCCATCGGACAAGAATGGGGTTCAATCCCATCGTACAGCACCTTTGAAAAGTGCCTGCAAACAATACAGGTTGACACAAGCCTTGTGAGTGAAACTGTGTAGACAGGACACTTGGGGCGTTGATAGCCTTGCGCTAGCATGAAGTCACAAGTCATCGTGACCGAGGGCTTGAGTGTGTTCGCCTTTTTCAAATTGTTGATCATGCTAGATGATAACCAGATTCCCAGAAACCGTAACTAAGGTCTGCTCAGAATAGTTGCAATATAAACCACAGGTGTGCTCTGCGGGTGTTGAATAAACACAAATGTGCCCGAGCAAGCGTCTGCAATAGGGATTGGCTAGCGGCCCTAGTAGACGGGTATACTCGAATATGAGTGGACAGCTATACTTACACAAGTCTTGTAAAACTACATTACATTCCTTAGTTCCGACAATGCCATGTTCTCAGTGACAAATCGTGTTACTTCGATTAGGAGCAAATTCTACTCAGCTTCTTTCTCAGTCTGTTACACAGTGGAACGAACTCCCCGTAAGATGATTACTTAACATCTGCAAGTTTTGTCTTTCAGCCGATATCCATCCCACACAACCTCATGATATGGGTTTCAGACTCTCTACTTCCATCAATCGTACATAAATCCAACTCAGTATCCCTTTTACCGTTGAGTTGCCTTTATGTCTTGTTTTGAGTGAAGTAACACTAAAATCTATCTATCTATCTATCTATCTATCTATCTATCTATCTATCTATCAGAATCTGGTCCTTATCTATCTATCTATCTATCTATCTATCAAAATCTGATGTTCGCATCCGTCTTATTATCGGTATATCCATCTTTGACACTTACACTGAATCTCTTGTGATACACACAAATAAACAAACAAACACACACACACAGACACACACGCATATATATATATTATATATAAATAGATATATAATATGTACGATATGATAATTATTGCAACTTTTTATGGATTTATCAAATTATGTGCTTGGCAGTGAAATTGTGTTAAAGCAGTTTATATATGTGAGGTCTTGCATTGGGGAAATAACATTAAAATATCAGTCAGTCTATCCATCTTTCTATCTAATTGTGTATTTTGTCACATCTATCTTCTTAAGTGTATAAACTTCTCTCTCTCATTTTCTCTCTCTTTCTTTCTCTCTCTCTCTCTCTCTATATATATATATATATATATATATATATATATAATTGAATAAATATTGTCTTTAAATTTTATTATTATTTTTAAGTTTTAAAACAGGAAAAATAAAAGTTATAGCGAGAAAAAGGAAAATAGATAGAAATTAGGAAAAGGCGTCATATTGAATATGTCAGTTCATAATTTTATTCCAAGAACGAAAGTAAATAAATAAAAATAAGTAAACAAAAATATATAACAGGGATTTTTTTTTACGTTGATGCTAAATTCGATATCATATTTCGACAAAATCATTTCTTCCTTAAATTTTGATTTATAATTATTTATACATGGGACATTTTACAACTCCTTTCAGTCACAGTGTGTTTTCTCCAATAAAATCACAAAAAAACTCTGTCTTTTTCCCTTTGGGCCCTGATCAGCGTTTAACAGTGGTAGAGATAAATGATCTAATGCCCAGCCATCGGTTGAACGGTGGTAAAGAAAAGTGGTATAATTCCCAGCCACCGGTTGAACGGTGGTAGAGACAAATGACTTAATGCCCAGCTATGGGGTAAAATTGAATCATTACATACTCATCATCATCTTGCGGCCTCAGCCGAGATTGAACTCACCAATACTTTGATTGGTGTAGTTCATAATCTTGTCAAATAGCTGAATTCTTGATGCTTCGCTAGGGCTATCAAGGGTGTTTTTATCGTGACACCAACACTAAATAGATTGCCAACCAAGGCTCAGAGAGACTCCATTCACCCTCCTCTAAGAGCAGGTTTTGAATTCAGAGTTTTCCTTCTCCTAGACCAGTTGCCATCCAAGGCTATAGAACCCTGTCTGTCCTGCTATTTACCCATAGCTGGAGGGAGAAGAAAGAGGATCCACACCTTTCCCAAGAGTGTTAGCACGTAAGTGAATGTAATGGATTCGACTGGAATTCGAACTCCAAGCCGCTATCCATTACTCCACCGTGCCTCCTTATCTATCTATCTATCTATCTATCTATCTATCTATCTATCTATTTATTACATGCTATTTGCGAATTTTGAGTAGGGGCACAGGCAGAAAGGTTAAAATTGCTCACGAACGCAGGGCCTAAATAACACAATTGTCATGGTAACGATTTCTTAGATATTTTTTTTCAGTTTTGGGAAACTTCATTTAAACTAGAAAGACATTAACATTTAGTGGTCTAGAAAACCGTATTTGTTTTGAAATATATATTTTAATGGAATGATTTTTCACCAAAAATGTGCATTGTCTCTTCGATTAAGTATTGGACGTTTGTTAATACAGTAAAATCCCTGTCAACCGTACTAAGAAGGCCTTCCGAGTATAAGGAAGTGGTTACAAAGTGCGGATATCAGACACTCCGGGTATAAGGGATTGCGGATATGAGAGACTCCGGATATGAGACATTCTATTGTATTACCATTATCGTTAAAGATGATGAGAACAGATACTACATTTAATATTTAATTGCCGCCCTATGCTTACAGAATGTGGCACAAAGTTAGTTTGATGTGGGGAGCCCGAGCTCGTGCACACGGGTTAGGTCCAAAAATAGTCAAGCTACTGCAACCGTCGTTTGGGCTGGCATTGGTATTACTACTGATTTCCACTCTTTAGTGCAAAGAAGAGGAACTGATCCAAACGGCTGTTCTCTGAGACAGAGTACTTCTCAGTCCTGTTTTAAGTTGTGCTCTGTCCAAAGACATAGAATTGAGAGATAAAAAGTAGTTGCTCCTCTTGAGGTCAGATATTACATTTAATACCAGCACAATGGCCAAAGGTTAAAAAACAACCCTAACTCGAGTATCACTGGAAAGAATCAAAGAATTACGAATGTTTTCTGAAAAGGGAACAGATAGTATAACCTTTACTATGGGCATTTGATAATTCTCGCTTGGAATGAAAGGCTCACAATGAAATAAAATAATGAAATATCCATCTAGTTTTTACGTATTCAGTCTTAGATGTTCGTTGGATTCTCTCATGCGCAAATACTTATGAAAAATGTAGGTATTCATCTCTGCCTCTAGCTATGGGTTAAATAGTAGGACTTGTATCTGTAAAAATCATTGCTTTTCTCAAAAGATTGTCACTGCAATATTCACTCACACAAAAAAGAAGATTATTCTAACAATCCAAAATATGCTTCAGCTTCAGATAACCCTAAAATGGCTGATGAGCCATGAGTAACTTAATCTCTAGTTAATTCACTGGACAACTGGCATTACATAGCAGTTCAGAACTCTTTTTATTTTGTTTCTAACGAAAAATGACTGTTTCTTAATATTTTTTTATTTTTTTTTTTGCTAGGATCATTCATTATTTAAATACGTCTTTGGATTTCGGTGTCGCATTTTCTGTCGCATGTTCTAACACTTGACAGCTAGTTAAGATCTATGGAAATATATATCCATACATATATGGATATACATATGATCAACTCCGGTCTATTCGGGCTCAAAAGTCATTTCAATTCATTGTTTTGTCTTAAATCGCGCGTCAGTTCACATCGAGCCGCAATTAGCAGAGATGAGAATATTTATTGGAGAAATTTGGAATATTTATCGAATAAATTTACTCTTTAGTATTTCAAGAAATTATTATGTAACTTTGATAAATATATCCAGAAGCGATACAGGAGATTCCGAAGTTGTCTAGAGGCCAGGACTCAAAAGTCAGTTCACTTCGTGTTTTATGTTTTTAATGGCACTTCAATTGAGATATTGATTGACACATCGAGACGCAATTAGCAAAGATGAAAGAATATTTATTGGAGAAATTAGGGATTTTTACTGAATACATTTATTCTTTACTATTTCAAGAAATTGTTATGTAATTTTGGTAAATATATCTGTTAAAGTGATAGTTTTTGCGTACTTTTGATGAAAATTTATCCATCGCACTCAGCATATATGTGTACACACACACAAAAACACACAAACATACACACGCATATATAACCTTATTATTGTTTTGTTTTATGTAAAGAGTATTAAATCATATTGTAAATAATCATTGTTTTTTTTTTTTAAATTGTTGTTTTTTCCCCTCCCCCCACAGACTATGAAATGTACATATGGGGACTAGTTAAGATATCATAGAGAATTTGAGGTATTATGGTGGACACAGTAAGAAAGGTAGGAGTGAATGTGTTGTTTTGGTGATAGGAATATTGTTGGTATGTTATGGTCCGTATCTGGGACTAGCTAAGTTTAGAATTAAGACAGTCCTTCTCCAACGACCTTTTTGGCCTTGTGCCACATTTTGTACAAATGAACGAATAAACACACACACACACACACACACACATATATATATATATATATATATATATATATATATATATATATATATATATATAGCCCTAAACAAAACTGACGTCATACCTAAAAAGGTACCTTTCGGCCAACACTTTTCAATGGTACTCGTTGGCGATTGGGAATATAAATGAAGATACATTCAATAAAATACATGAGGAGGGAAAGGTGGAACGCGATTCAAAGAGAAATTTTAATTACACAAAATTAAAATTGAACAAGGGGTGATAAAAATAAACAGTTCCACAAAAGTTTAAAATAGAAAAAGGGGAAATCACAAACCCTCCAACAGACGTAAAAAAATGTTCCTTTTGTCTACACAGGCTAAGGCTGTTGACACTATATAAAAATAGCTTCAGGTACTCGAAGATGGTGTATTCAGCGAGCAATGTGTAAAACTGAAAACGCCAATCGCAGATTCATGGATTGCCCGAGTAGTTCTTCTTATAGACCGGCTAAGACTACCAGAACGCATAATATATATATATATATATATATATATATATATATATATATATATACACACACACACACACATATATATATATATATATATATATATATATATATATATATATGTACACACACACACACACACACATATATATATATATAAATATATATATATATATATGTATGTATGTATGTATGTATAAATGATAGAAATTAAGGAGGATTTGAGATAATTAAGTAATTCCTTGAGTCTAGAAGAAACCTCAACAGAATGCAGAAAGCACTGGACGGCCGTTTCGTCCTATATTTGGGACTCATCAGCAGTGCGCATCCATTAACCGAGAATTGAAACCTGGACAGTTGCTGAAGATTGCAGCTGGTCTGGAGCGCTTGATGTTACTTGTGTTTATATATGTATATATATATATATGTATATATATATATATATATATATATATATATATATATATAAAAACACTAGTATACATCAAGTGCACCAAACCAACTGCAATTTTCAACTGAGCACGGCTCTTCAGCAAAGTTTTCGGCCTGTTATCCTGAGTACCTCATGACACGTTGGGTCCGCAACAGCTGGGTGAAGTTACCTTGTTACACTTCCTTCCACTGTTTTTCACCACAAGTCATTATCCCCTTATTCGGTTTTTGGATCCCAGCACACTTGAGGAATCTCTTTAGGGAGGCAGCAGAAAATCCCAAACAGCCAACCTCAAATGGCACCAGGGTGCAGCCGTATCCTCTCTCAGGGGCTTCAGCCACCAGTTCCTCATACCGCAGCAACTTTCACGCGCTTCTTCGATCCCTTCATCCTATGCTACTCTCAGTTCGCCAAGAAACGGATGTTACTCCTCTCGCTAAGAGAGTGGGAGAGGAGAAAAATATACGGACATGGGAAATAAAAAGCTGACCCAGTCGAGATGAAAATGAGCCAAAACAAACTGGGGAGGTTGGGAATCTCGACTTGGATCATAACCAAAGAGGGCAGCCGGGAACAGACCAGAAACAACACTTACTCACATTAACTAGGTACACAAAAGCTTGTCAAATCTAACCAAGTGAAGGGCTCCGCAGGAAACCACCCCGATGTGACGTAGGTTGACCTAAAAGAGAAAATCAAGGCTAGCCCCATTCAAACGAACCAAGCTCGCCTCAGTCACCCACCTTTCGCTGAAAACTGTCGAATGCAAGCGTTTTCTATCAGTTCTAATCTTCATCTTGAGATGGTGCTCAAAGAATCGGATCAGATCCTGATGAGAAAGACGGTTAACTCGCAAGACTTCCTCCTGTCGCATCGTCCAAATCCCCATCCGTTTCACCCCAGAATACGGGGGCGACCCATTGTCACACGCGTATGCGCGATCAATGAGCACGAGCTTTTCGGGAGCGAGACGAGCCGTCAACTCGCCGACATGATCACATAAGGGGCGGACCCGGAGAAAATGGTATAAGGCATGCGGTGCCTTTTCTTCTAAACCAAGTTCATAACGTTCACAGAATGGCAAATGCGCCAAGCTCCATATGGAGGTCATGTAATTGAGAGGCAGGCGATTCCAAGACAATCGCCAGGTAAGCGAAAACTCAGGGCTTCTGAGATAATCCGCCGCTGGCGCTCAAGACCAGAAAGAGCGAAACTCTTCCTCCGACAATTCGAGCCGCTCACGTAGAGAATCCTCCACTTGATGACGATAGAAGACCTTCCTAGGCTGAGAAAGGTCATTGGACTGAGGAACAGCCAACAAGGCCGACCGACTCTCGCGAAGGAAATCCGCTTGATCCCGGGGTTTACGATGGCGCTCAACCCGCGAGATAGGGGGACTGATAGTAAAGGAAGGGAACGTGTCCCTAACAATCCCTGCCATAATCGTATCTCCTGTCAATGCATGGCGTAGGAAAGCAAACCTCGAGACGAGATTGTGGCTCACCGACTGTGGCATTCCCAGGCTCCCATGACACGGACGTTGTGCGCAGACACCACTGTGGACCTGATACTTGGGTTCCCTCTATAAAATGGAGGATAGCGAGCCCTCGAGCGGCTTCCTATGGTCTTTACAATGAGGAAGTACGGACAATCGATAAAGGACAATCGGGAAAACGTAAGTAGCAGACGCCTCCGCCCTGCCCTTCACGGACAACTTCCGTCGACGCCAAGTCTAACCGTCTGAGTCGACCTTTGCTCGTACTTCAGACCAATTTTTCTCCAGCTGGAGTTCTGGTCCAAACCCCACTCCAAGAATGCGGAGAAGACCGTCCGTCCAACCGAAGGGCCCCGGAAGATCAACCCCCTTCCAGGCACCTAACCGCAAGCCGAAAGACTTGTCGCGGTTAATCTTGGCCCCTGTCACCTTTTCGTACCGATCAAGCGCCTTCAGTACCGCCTCAATATCGCTGTGGGGCCACACGAAAGTAGATACATCATCGGCGTACGCGAAAATACTGGTTTGAGCTCTTCCAGGAAAGCCGATTCCACGTAGGGTCGGACTACACACCCTGTCCCTCAGCTGGCGAAGGAGAGGCGCCAAAGCCAAAGCATAAAGTAGGACAACCCTGAATAACTGACCTAGACAGCGCAAAAGCGCCCGACAGCCTCCCTTTCACCTGTACCACAGCACTGAGTGAGCGTTACAGGAGACTAATCCAGCGGCAGAAGTCGGGTTCGATTCCGGCGGCCTTCAGGATAGCAGCAAGGTAGCGATGGTCAACCCTATGAAATGCCTTGGACTGGTCTAAATTGATCATCGCGGCCTCATCGTCGTATTTTACACCCTCTATGACCGTGCGGATCAGATGCAGGTTGCTCTGAATTGTTTGGCCCCTCACAGCACGTCTTCTCCATTAGAGACTCGGCCACTGACTGCAAACGCTCGTGCAGGATCTTGACCAAAACCTTTAACTCTGTGTTTAGCATATCTTATTACTAACATAAACTCATCTGCTTTTTGTTAAATATAGGTCCTAATTTGTTGATTCTATATACGCTTACAATCTCGCATATTGTACTGTTATTACGTCAAAATCGCCATTATTACTTCAAAATTGTTGATTCTATATACGCTTAGAAGCTCGCATACTGCACCATTATTACGTCAAAATCGCCATTATTACGTCAAAATTTTCATTGTGGCCATTTTTGGTCCCTATTTTTTGTTGTAAAGTAGTATAGATTTTCCGTGATGCGTAATCATTGGGGATAATCCTATATTGTTTTGCTAAGTTTAGTGCACTGCATAATATTTT